GAAAAAAAGGGACAACTTACTTACTAAATACCTCAGACTGTCTATTTTACAAAAACAGTTTTGGGGGTATTTGTACTGTCCTGAACTGACTGGGGAGCAACATCCTATCTGTGTGCAGGGAGACCAAAGCCTGTGTGGTTAGCCTCCAACTACCAGCAACTAGGTATAGCATCAGGCTGTACCTAGTGGATAGCTAGGGAAGCTATTTTGTACAGTAAGTAGTCAAGTTGGCCAGGATTTGATTTGATGTTTCTTTTTGGTTTGACATTTTTCTGTAAATATTGTAAATAAACTGCACCTTTTTTTTTTTCACCTCCACTGTTGTTGTGCTGTGCCTGTGTTTTTGTGTTGTGCACCCATCCAGGGGGTCACACACACACGCTGCCGAGCGAACCCCGTTACAATATATATATATCCTAGATCAAGGTTTGATCTAGTTCAGTGCCAGGGTGTTTGGGTCAAGGTCAGGGTCAAAGGTCAGGATTTAAAAAAAATTGGTATCCAGTGTCAGTGTGTTTTGGGTAAAAAAAACAACAAAAAACAAAATGCGCACTATTGTTTCTGGGCTGTACTGTGGGTACAAACAACAAATAACACACACATACAGTGAGGAACAGAAGTATTTGAACACCCACTTAGAAATCATGGAGGGGTCTGACATTCACATTGTAGATGCATTCCCACTCTGAGACACAGAATTAAAAAAAGAATTCAGGAAATCACATTGTATGATTTTTAAAGAATTATTTGTCTTGCACTGCTGAACATAAGTATTTGAACACCTGAGAAAATCAGTGTTAATATTTGGTACAGAAGCCTTTGTTTGCAATTACAGAGGTCAGACGTTTCCTGTAGTTCTTGACCAGGTCTGCACTGCAACAGGGATTTTGGCCCACTCCTCCACACAGATCTCCTCTAGATCTGTCAGGTTTCGGGGCTGTCGCTGAGCAACACGGAGTTTCAGCTGCCTCCAAAGATGTTCTATTGGATTTAGGTCTGGAGACTGGCTAGGCCACTCCAGAACTTGATATGCTTCTTACGGAGCCACTCCTTGGTTATCCTGGCTGTGTGCTTCGGGTCGTTGTCATGTTGGAAGACCCAGCCACGACCCATCTTCAATGCTCTGACTGAGGGAAGGAAGTTGTTGCTCAAAATCTCACAATAAATGGCCCCATTCATCCTCTCCTTAATACAGTGCAGTCATCCTGTACCCTTCGCAGGAAAGCACCCCCAAAGCAGGATGTTACCACCTCCATGCTTCACAGTAGGGATGGTGTTCTTGGGATGCAACTCATCCTTCATTTTTCCTCCAAACACGACGAGTGAAGTTTAGACCAAAAAGTTCTACTTTGGTCTCATCTGGCCACATGACTTTCTCCCATGCCTCCTCTGGATCATCCAGATGGTGATTGGCAAACTTCAGACGGACCTGGACATGTGATGGCTTGAGCAGGGGAACCTTCCGTGCAATGCATGATTTGAAACCATGACAACATAGTGTTCTACCAACAGTGACCTTTGAAACTGTGGTCCCAGCTTTCTTCATGTCATTGACCAGCTCCTCCCTTGTAGTTCTGAGCTGATTTCTCACCTTTCTTATCATCAGTGATTCCCCACGAGGTGAGATCTTGCATGGAGCCCCAGTCCAAGGGAGACTGACAGTCGTCTTTAGCCTCTTCCATTTTCTAACAATTGCTCCAACAGTTGATCTATTTTCACCAAACTGCTTGCCCCGTAGCCCTTTCCAGCCTTGTGGAGGTCCACAATTTTATCTCTGGTGTCTTTTGACAGCTCTTTGTCTTGCCCATGGTAGTAGTTTGCGTCTGACTGACTGTGGGGTGGACAGGTGTCTTTTAAGAGCTCAGACAGGTGCTACTAAGTTAGATTAATGAGTGGAGTAGAGGTGGACTTTTTAAAGGCGCAGTAACAGGTCTTTGAGAGCCAGAATTCTTGCTGTTTCTTAGGTGTTCAAATACTTCAATGTTCAGCAGTGCAAGACAAATACATTCTTTAAAAATCATACAATGTGATTTCCTGAATTTTTTTTTTAAATTCTGTCTCTCAGAGTGGGAATGCACCTACAATGTGAATTTCATACCCCTCCATGATTTCTAAGTGGGAGAACTTGCAAAATCCCAGGGTGTTCAAATACTTCTGTTCCTCACTGTATATGGTATTGCTGCAATCGTCAAGAGCTGGAAAATTTATTTTGGGTTGTTCCTTGGTGGTAGATTATGGTAGTAACAAGAAACACACAGCTAAATTTAAAAAAAATATTTTTTGTTTACTATTTTATGCCAGTTTTCCTTTGCTAATAAAAAAAAAAAATCAGGAGATTACCATTTACCACCAAATGAAAGCCCAATTTGTCCTGAAAAAAACAAGGTATAATTCACCAGGATGTACAAAGTAGTTGTGATGATATGTACAGTTTTACTAACACATGTCAAAGTTGCAAAATTGTGCTTAGGCATTAAAATTTGTTTTACCCTTAGGCGTGAAGGGGAAGAACCAACATTTGGAAGAACCTTTTATTACAAAATTCAGACATATATCATTTTATTCTCACCTTTTATTAAATGGTATAAATTCTATTAAACAGTCTTGAAATTTTGCTGTTTACAAATACAAAATATTTCTCAACAAACATGTTATTTGGAGTTCTCCCAACTTTTGTCCTTATAGTACAACAATTTCCCACAGCCGTCTTCACATCACTGTTCCTCAGGCAATAAATGTATGGGTTAAACATTGGCGTTAGTGCTGTATACATGAGGGTGACAAATTTTCCCTTCTGTGGTGAGGAGGCAGAAGAAGGTTTGAAATACATGGAGACCGCTGAAGCAGAAAAGAGAAAGAAAACCGCAAGATGGGAGCCACAGGTGGAGAAAGCCTTTTGTCTACCTGAAGAAGAGTGTATGCGGAGAATGGAGATGGTTATACGGATATAAGACAGTATAGTAAGAAGTGATGGAACCAAAGCCACCAGAGAGCCTTCTGTGAAAATGAGAAGTTCATTGAAGGTTGTGTCGGAGTAGGAGACCTCCAAAAGGGGTGGTATGTCACAGAAGAAATGTGGGATGTATACAAGTGGACAGAACTTAAGGAAAGTTGTCACAATGGCATGAAGAAGGGCATGCACTGAGGCAAATGTGCAACATGTAATGCACATGGCCAAACATGTGCTTCTGTTCATGAGTGTTGAGTATCTCAATGGGCAGCAAATAGCGGCATACCGGTCATAAGCCATGACTGCTAACATTAAGTTTTCACTGTTGCCAAAAGCGTGGAAGAAAAAGATCTGAGTGATACAGCTAGAGAAGGAAATGTTATTCTTTTGGGTTAGCACTGTGGCCAACATGCCTGGCACGGTGGTAGAAGAGAAAGAGAAATCCATGAGGGAGAAGTTCCACAAGAGCTGGTACATTGGGGAATGAAGGTGTGAGTCAATGACTATAACACTTAGCATCATGACATTTCCAGATACTGTAATCACGTAGATAAGGAGAAAGAGGACAAAGAGAGGAAGACGAAGAGCCGGAGAATCCGAAAGATTAAAGAGGTAAAATTCAGTCGGTGGAGTGTAGTTCATGAGGGTGCTTCGTGTGCTGAGGACACTGCGGAGATGACCACATAGTTTGTCAACTTAAGGAATTTACTTACATTTTGTCTTTTCAATAGAACAGAAACACGAGCTAATCTGAATATTCCTTCTCTGAAAACATGATTTTATATCTATTTTTGCCATATAGATTATTTTTGAATGAAGCAGTATAAAATAAACACTATTCCTCATTTATGGAAAAGGCTAAGTTTTTGAGGGGCAGAAAAAGGTTTATGAACAAGCCTTACATTTGTCCCTGTAGATTATCAGAGGCCAAATAAAGTCTACTGTATACACTAATTGAACCTTCTTTCCTCACCACAAGATGATTAATTGATAACTCTTTGTAAGGGATGAAGAAACACCTTTTCTAAGATACCTCAATACATAGTTTAAAACAAGTCATAAGTTCCATACTTTTTCTTTTGCATCATAATGAATTTCATTGAGCGATGAACAGGGTAAGCAACAGGCAAATAATAAAAGGATATTGTCAGGGATGCGGGTGTGACCAGAAGTGTGTGGACTGACACAGGGAAACGCAAGCTTCAGATATGGTATAAATAAGACAATTTATTAAGACTAACAATACAAACATAAACGCAGTGCACCAAACCCCAAGCTAACACAAATACATACAACAAGGTGAAACAAACCCAAACCTGAACTGATATAGATACACAGGTACATACACATGTAGAGCACAACGTAGTCAGGCAGGCCGGGTCGATAACTATCGGGCAGGTAGGTACAGGAGGAGCAGGCGGAGAGTAGTCAGGTCACGAGCCGGGTACAGCAACTAACGGACAGGTAGGTACAGGGGTCAGGCAGAGAATGGTCAGGGTCACAAGCCAGGGATCAAACAGGAGAAGTCAGCAGAGGTCAGGATCAGGCAGGGTCGGCAACAAGTCAGGCAGGAACAGGAATGCAGGTTACAAGATACAGGGGCCCATGGAAAAACACACACCAAGGCACAGACTGCAGGTCTGGCCATCCCTTAAATACACCACCTGCAATCAGCCCCAGGTGATGGCTAATTGCCGAAGTGAACCTCTGGTTGTTGAGAGCACCCGCTGGCCAGCCCTGGTACTGCAGCCCACAAGGCAGGTGAGTCCCTCCACTATTGGCAAGTCCATTCCTGACAGATATAGTGAGCGCTCTTAGATAAACTAGGTCCAGCCTCCGCTCTGATGATGTGCCTTAGCACGAAAGGCCTTAGGAGGAGCTGCACAGAGCCTGACGTCTTTTTGCCGCCGGAGCCACGAGGAGGCCCGGCGGCCATCTTTTAAAGGGTCAGTGACACATTTTATACCTGGATTACATTTGTGCTTGATTTTAGCATGTTTACTGCCCTGTCATTTCCTTATATTTGAATAAACTTCAGTTTTGAGAAATACTACACTATCTTGGCACCTGTTCTTGGGCTCCTATGTGGAGCTGTTACGTCTACAGAACCAAGTCCTATGCCGTCCAGCATCCAGAGGAGTAAGCCCTGTATGCAGGCTGAGCGCCCATCAACCCTATAGGGGACCTCTGGACCTAGCAGTATCTCATACCATAACCAGGCTGACTAACCAGACCACAGAAGGATGCCCACCACCTGCTGACTACAGATCATCTAGGAATATTATTCCTACATGCACATTATTCATGCGCTTCTGGTGAGTGCGCACTTCTGCTATTTCAGTCACAATTTCCAGTGGGATAACTACCTCATAGGAAACTACAGCTGTTGAACTTTATTGCTATAATTTATCTCATAAGGAGCCTTCCACTATAATATCCATTGAGCGCTGCACTTTAGTTATTTTTAGGGTAAGCAACAGGACTTGGTGGCAGCTTGACCTGTGGTGTGTCCTGTACCTGTGCTGCAGGTGGACTTTCTCTGCCTTTCCATATTACATAGGAAATATGAAATATAAATACAATGCTAAAAATATAATTTAGTGTAAAAAAATAAATGTTTACAGAGAAAGAGAGAGAAGGTCGCAAGTGTGTGTTATTGATAGGCGGGCACATGTCGTGGGACAGTCCAGAGACTGTTAATCAAGATGGCAGACAACAGTGTTAATGCGTGCATGGAACAGCGTGTGGTGATGAACTTTCTTGTGAATGAAGGCGTAAAACCTGCAGATATACTCACCTCTCCCCTTCAGTCTCCTCTCGCATTACTAACCTACTAAATGACATACTGGGTTTTTAAAAAAAATGCTCCCCAAACACCCAATGTGCAGATTTTAAGCGTTAAGTGTTAAAACTGCACCAAAAACAACTATAATAAACTGTAAATGAATGTAAAACATATATAAATAGTGTTGCACTAACTCATATATAAATAATAGTCCATAAAAAGTTCAAATGTGATAGTTCAATTAAAATATGAAATATAAATTAGAAATATATAAAGTTCTTGAATGGTGAAAAATCAATAAAGTGCTTGAATGGTGAAAAATCAAAACGATGTGCTCCGAAGCAGTTAAGTGCAAATCAAAGCGTCAGATGCCGTGGTGTAAAGCACACTGCCACTGGACTCTAGAGGAGTGGAGATGTGTTTTCTGGTGTGACCAATCACGCTTCTCTGTCTGGCAATCCAATGGACATGTCTGGGTTTGGCGGTTGCCAGGAGAACTGTACCTGCCTGACTGCATTGTGCCAAGTGTAAAGTTTGGTGGAGGGGGGATTATGGTGTGGGGTTGTTTTTCAGGGGTTGGGCTTGGCCCCTTAGTTCCAGTGAAGGGAACTCTTAAGGTGTCAGCATACCAAAACATTTCTGACAATTTCATGCTCCCAACTTTGTGGAAACGGTTTGGGGATGGCCCCTTCCTGTTCCAACATGACTGCTCACCAGTGCACAAAGCAAGGTCCATAAAGACATGGAGGAGCAAGTTTGGGGTGGAGGAACTTGACTGACCTGCACAGAGGCCTGACCTCAACCTGACAGAACCTGATAGAGCAGAGACTCTGAGCCAGGCCAGACATCAGTGCCGGACCTCACAAAGGCGCTTCTGGAAGAATGGTCAAACCTCCCCATAGACACCCTCCTAAAGCTTGTGGGCGGCCTTCCCAGAAGAGTTGAAGCTGTTATAGCTGCAAAGGGCGGGGCCAACTCAATATTGAACCCTACGGACTAAGACTGGGATGCCATTAAAGTTCTTGTGCGTGGAAAGGCAGGCCGACCAATACTTTTGGAAACATAGTGCATATGAGATTGTATCGTCTGCAGGTTAGTGTGCCCCTCTTGTGACCACTGTGTATGGTGGTACTTTCCAGTAATCGGTAACTGGGTATCATGTGATCGCTATGATTGTTCATAGCAATTGCATGATAACAATGTAAACAACCTGTCATGAATGGCTTTTCTATTCATGAACAGCTTGTTTACTCTTGTGATCTGTGATTGGCTCACAGCAATCACAAGTTACCTGGCTACCTATACCATGTGAATAGCTGTATCCAATCAAAGATCACAACCATAAGCAAGCTGTTCATGATTAGGAAATCAATTCATGACAGCTAAAACTATTGTTTACACAGTGACCATCACTGTGGAAGCAATAACAATGTGGGAAAAAAAAAATCTCTGATCACCCCCACCCCCTCCCCAAGTAGTACAGTGTCCCTATGCTGAAAAAAAATAATAATAATTAAATAAAATGCTTATAAAAAAGAAAAAATGCTTACAAAATTGAATACAAATTATTTTATTTTTTTTTTACATCCTGTCACCAGTCAGAATTCCTGATCACCACCACGCCAGTCGTTAATGATACTGTACTGCACTGGTGACAGTATGTAAAAAAATTGAAAAAAAAAAAAACCCACATTTTATTTAATTTCTTCATTTTCCAAAAAATTGTGACAAAAAAAATTACATCTTCAAAAAACTCACTATGCCTCATACTAAATACCTCAGACTGTCTACTTTCCAAAAAGGGGTCATTCGGGGAATATTTGTACTGTTCTGGTATCCTCAAGAAATTTGATAGGCTGTCAGTACCTCAAGATTGATCAATTTGCAAATACAGTGGATATTAAAGTCTACACACCCCCTGTTAACATGTCAGGTTTCTGTGACGTAAACAAATGAGACAAAGATAAATAATTTCAGAACTTTTTCCACCTTTAATGCAACCTATAAATTGTACAACTCAATTGAACGACAAACTGAAATATTTTAGGTGGAGGGAAGTAAAAATAAAAAACTAAAATAATATGGTTGCATAAGTGTGCACACCCCTACACTAATACATTGTTGAAGCACCTTTTGATGTGATTCCAGCACTCAGTCTTTTTGGGTATGAGTCTATCAGCATGGCACATCCTGACTTGGCAATATTTGCCCGCTCTTCCTTGCAAAAACACTCCAAATCTGTCAGATTGTGAGGACATTTCCTTTGCACAGCCCTCT